TTGAAAATACCTTAGATTCATAACTAATTGAAATACCTTAGATTTATGAATTTGAAGAATGAATATTACTAAAAGGGATTTTTGCGCCTTCAGTGCAATTTGTATCAAAATGCCAAATACATTTTTTCAGAGAAACAGAAAAAAGAACCCAAATTTGTATAAAACCATAAAAGTCCCAAATAGCCAAAGTAATCATAACAAAGAAAAATTAAGTTGGAGGCACCAAGTAACTCAAAGTACACTACAGTACTATGGCAATCAAAATAACATGGCACTAGTATATAAAAAACACATAAACCAATGGAATGGAACAGTTAAGACCAGAAATAAATCCATGTATTTAAGGTTAATTGGTATTTGACAAAGTTTCCAATAACACTCAATGAAGAAAAGACAGTGTCTTCAACAAATGGTGAAGCCATACTGCATATCTCTGTTCAGAGAATGAATTTGGACCCTTCTCTCACACCCTAAATAAAAATCATCTCAAAATGGAATAATGATTTAAAATAATACACCCAAATTAAAACTACTAAAATAAAATATAAGGAGAAAGCTGCATGATATGGGTCTGGACAATGATATTTTGATATGGACAGAAAAGCACAGTAAATAAAATGCAAGAATAGACAAATGGGATTACCTCAAGCTAAAAATCTTCTGTACAGCTGAGAAAACAATCAGCAGAGAAAACAGATGATCAACAGAATGGGAGAAAATATTTGCAAGCAATGTATCTAATAATAAGTTTACAACCGAAATACATTAGGAACCCAAATGATTTACTAGGAAGAATATAAATTACCCTATTAAAAACTGGAAAAGGGACGTGAATAGACATTTCTCCAAAGGGGATTTACCAATGGCCCAGAATGGCCCAGGAGGTCTGTGAAAAATGCTTAATCAAGTTTCATCAGAGATTGGGCACAATGGTTCTCACCCGTAGTCCCAATTGACTCAGGAGGCTGAGAAAGGAGGATTATAAGTTTGAGGCCATCCTCAGCAACTTAGTGAGACCCTCAGCAACTTAGCAAGATGTCGCCTCAAAAAATAATAAAAAAGTAAAAAATAAAAAGGACTGGGGATGTAGCAACATGACAAAGCACTCATGTGTTCAATCCCCAGTATATATATATATATATATATATATATATGTGTGTGTGTGTGTGTGTGTATCTTATGGTGGTTTGGGTTTGTATTTCTATGATATATATGTATATATTTCTATGATATGTATGTATGTACATATATATTATAGAAATATAAACCCAAACCACCATAAGATACAATCTCACAACTATTAGAATGGCTGTGATACAAAGACAAAAAATAAGTGTTGTTGAGTCTATAGAGAATGGGGAAGCGTTGCACACTGTTAGGGTGAATGCAAAGTGGTACAGTTATTATGGAAAACAGGAATGGGATTCCTCAAAAAATTACAAATAGAACTACCATATGATCAGTCAATCTCACTATTGGGTACCTATCCAAAAGAGATGAAACCAGTGTGTTGAAGAGACAGCTGAAGTATCATGTTAACTGTAGTATTATTCACAGTAGTCAAGGTATGGAATCAACCAAAGGATCCACATGTGTATGTGTATATATGTAATGGACTTTTATCTAGTCATATAAAAGAAGGAACTTTTGTCATTTGTAACAACATGGATGAAGGACGTTATGCTAAGTGAACTAAACTAGGCACAGAGAGACAAGTACTGTATGATCTAATTTATATGTGGAATCTAAAATTTTCAACTCATAGAAACAGAGAGTAGAATGGTGGTTGTTGGCAGGGCCTAGGTGTTGGGGAAAGGAGAAGATGTTGGTCAAAGGGCAAAGAGTTTCAGTTATGCAGGATAATTAAATTTTGGAGCTCTATCATAGTATAGTTAATATAGTTAATACTATATTAGATGCTGGAAATTTAATAAGAGAGTAGATCCCAAGTGTTCTCACTAGATATACAGGCATGCACGGGCACATTATGTGAAGTGATAGACATTAATTATTTTGATTATGGTAATTATTTCATGATGTATACATAATCAAAATATCACATTGGGTACAATAAATGTATTAATATTTATTTGTAAATTATAACTCAACAAAACTCAGAAAAAAAATAAAAAATAATGAGTTTTAATTACCTAGACACTAGGGTTACAATAGTAGTAATTGAATTAAAAGCAGCAGTGGTTGTAGTAGTAGAATTAATAGTGTGCATTTACCAAATGCTTTCTTTATGCCACTCAGTGTTCTAAGGGCTTTATATAGTAACTCACTGACTCTTCACATCAACCCAAAGAAAAATTGACTGAAATTACCCAAGAAGGCAGAAGTAGAAATAGGCTAGGAAATAACATACAGTTGATAGTAAAATCCATCTTGAGTTATCCTAACATTTTAAACAAATTAAAAATCTCATTTATTTTTATCATCCATGTTCCATGTGTATGTATTCTAAACTCCATTTCCTCCAATAACATGCTTATTAATAGATTTGAAAGTTTTCTTGCTTGAAAGAATTTTCATGCAACTTGAAATATGAAACACTGACACTTAATGGGTGCACTGTTTAAAGGATGTATTTTCCACTACGATGAACAACATTCCTGTATTAAAGATGGCAATGTGCCCATGTCACATCTACTGTTAAAGTGATCACAGCTGTAGAAATTTGCAGCAACAAACACTAATCACATTCCCAGTTGTCATGACTTTTATATGTCTTTCTTTTCTTTTTCTATCTAGGCCATTTGAAGTGGAGAGGGAAAAGCTCATTTCAGTCACTGGGGGAACCTGAGACTTTTGCTCCAAATCATCTGATCAAAAAGAGGTGGAGACATCAGTACCTTCCTAATGGGAGACTGCCTGAGGCACACGGGGTATGTGGAAGAACTAGAAAAACTAGGGTGCTGATGAAGCTAAATTACTTAGGTATCTATGCAGGAACTTGGCAGGTCATTTCGATTCTTCACGATCTCTTTCTTAGCTTTATGACAAATGTGAATGGTAATCCAAACAAAAACATGGTAAAATGGGGAAATAATGTCCCATTTTAATTTTCTTAGTTTATTTAAAGCTTTACTGGAAAAACATAATGAAAATTATAAAACATAAAAAATAATGAAAATTCAAAAGGTAAAAAATCAAGTATCATCAGTATTTAAAAGCAAATTCTTTCTGAAAATTCATACATGAGGATGAGTTGATGTCTATTTTTAAACGGAACCCACCTGAATTAAGTCCAGTTGAAGCATCATGACAAGGGTTTACACTTTATTATTTTGCTGCTTCTTTCAGTGATTTCGTTCATGAAATATCAGTTTGATTTTGGTGGGAAAGAGTAGTTTTGTCTATCCTTTATAAAGCTCTGGGATTTGGGCAGTGTCCTATCTGATGGGATAATTGTTTCTTTTTTATTTCATAGCATCACTTGGGGTATGAGTGTGTGTTTTTTCCTTCCTTATCAACCACCATATTTTTCCTCTTCAGAATTATAGACTTTATCTCAGATTTCTGTTTGGCACAACTAAATTATTTTTGAGATTATTCTACTTCAGTGATGGGTGTGGTTTTTTCTGGGTTTTGTTGTTGTTGTTGTTTTCTTTTTTAAAATTTTATAAACTTAAATTTGTCACCCCATCTCTCCAGCATTGTTCAAAAACTTTAAAAAGTAGCTCTGGAAATTGCTTTATGCATTGATCTTAGAAAGAAAAGTAACTTGGAACTAGAACTCTTACAGGCAGAAAGAAAAACAATCTGTAATATTACTAGGTTCAGTGCCCTCATCAGATACGCAGGGAAAACAGAAGCTCAGAGATGTTGGATGTGATTAGTCTAAGCCTACCTTCTGGTTAGTGGGAGAGTTGTTCCAAACCTAGTTTTACCAGCTCCCTGTTCACACATAAAGTCAACCTTTTCTAGTATTCATAAAAGAGAGTACAGAAGTTTTGCAAATGTTAATTTTAACTAATTTGAAACATAATCTTTGGAGGGGAAAGCTAACTAATGACAACTGCTACCCAAGACCATTTAGTTTAGAGATTTAATTTTTTTTTTTTTACAATTTATTTTAAACTAGATGTGATAAGTGGCTGAGATACATAATACTATGTGAATATATTCTCATGTAAATAATGAATTCTGGAGAGCTATTAGCATTTTCTTGAGAAGTTTCACCATTTTGCCTATTGTCTCATTTTAAGCAACAAATTTTATGCAAAAACTTTCTCCATAAATTACAAAATGGGAAACACTAGTTTCACTCCAGTGGAATTACCGTGTTTAGACTGGAATTCTAATTATCAAGGCATTTGTTCATTGATGTAATAAAGAGTAGTGGAAGATTTTTCAGTTCTTTGAACCAGACCACATATATATTAATCTCGATAAATCTGATGTTTTTAATCAAATCAAGTCCAAATACCTATACTATTTCTTCTTGAGCTTCATTAGAGAAACAAATGATGGAAAGTATGTATCATGGCCTTAATTGACCAGGATTTTAAAGAACTGCATGACACGCTCAGCTTTTTGGACTTAAGAAATGGGCAAGGAATAACATGCCGTCCCTTTTCTTTGGGCTATGTTATAAATTATGTAGGGAGCATTTCAAAGCCCTTCTTCCCCCATTCCCAGTCTGCTTTTTTAGACAGTATTCTGCCTGTCCACTCTGTATACTTTCTGGATCAGTTTAGGGATTGCAAAGTAATTTGGAGACCAGACTAAGCCAAACATAATTGGGAAAGAGAAGCTGCCAAGAAGCAATCAGATCCACTACATTCCAAAATCAAGCCTCTTCCAAATGCCGGATGGACCATCCCCATCGCAGCCCCATGGCTATGAGCTACATGTGACTGGAATTCCAACTGAATACTTCCCCCTACCCACAATCCAGGGACCTGAATCTATAAGCTCTTCACATAAAAGAAACTTGAACTCAATCATACCCATTTTCAGATAGGCTTTAAGGCACTAGACCACACAAAACTTACCAAGTAAAGAAAATGTCAGCTTTGCTCCTAGCTGTCCTTTGGAGAGGGAGCCTTGCAGTGCTCGTCACACCAGGATGGACTACCCCTAGTTTCCAGTCTGATGTGGGACTTGTCCTTGGAAGCCTGTCTGCTCTTGGCAGCTCTGCAGCAGCCCTGCCCCCAGACACAGCTGAGGTTTGCAAATGAGGAAGGATGTCTCAGTCTGAAGGTGTAGCAACTCCTGAAGGGAACCTGGAAGTTTAAAAGTGAAACATAAAGAGCTTTTATGGCCTGGAAGGGAAGCAGTAAACAAGAGAAAGTACTTTTAATTACCATGAGTTCCCCAAACCGCAAAACTCCAGGACTACAATGCAAAGCATGGCCTCAGTTTAGAATCTTTCCTGATAGAAGGAAACACATTTCCTATTTGTCTGTGTCTTGTCCCTAGGCCTGAAGCAGCAGTAACAGGAACAAGTGAAAACAACAGTGATAGCTCTTTGACTGAAAACTCACTTTGGCATTCCGATGTGCATCTGATAGACAGGAGCTACCAACTCTTACCTGAGTAGAATGAGGTGGCATCTACTTGCTCATGGACTATTCCAACATGAGAGTCTTTGAAGACTAATGTGCTAGTTGTAAGGGGCTATGAGAAGGCTGGGATTGTGTGCCACCCCCACTTAGTCTGATACCCTTTCTCTACAGTTTTGGCTGAAATATGCAGTAGTTGCCAGAGAACCCGGAGTTCTTCTGAAGGCAGTTGGTTGCTCAGTGATTTTACTCACAACACACAGCCTTTATGGCAACAAAAGAGAAGGGCCAGCGTGGGCACTGTGCCAGGGATCCAGAGCTTGGCTGCCAGGCATTTACTTGGGGAGTTCCCAGGGCTAGGGGAGAGCTTGTTGGACAAGTCCCAAGTCCCAGTTTCTAACACGGTCCTTGTTATATTAAGAGAGAGTCATCAGCTAGCAGGTGAAGTCCAGGAAAGAGATGTACAAGACTTCTGTCCTCCTCTCACCACCTCTGCCCTTCCCAAGACTACACAGAGGCAGATTCAGCCTGCAACTTGTTGTTTCTTGCCCAAAGGAGTCACACGGCTGTGAGACTCAGACAGAAAAGAAATAAGAGTGAACCAAAGGGAGAGAAAAATGCAGCCTAACTCCTCCGTGATTTTTCTCTACGGTTTGTTGCATAGAACAACCACCACTTTCCAGAACAGCAGCATCCCCTCCCTCAATGATGCTCTGTCAATTCCTTTCACAGTAACATTTACACTATGTCTGTCCCTTCATCTGTGGTTACCGCCTCCACTTCTCTTCTTTCCTCAAGTCAAATTACTGACACCCAGTGTCCAGTGAAGGTGACAGCAGGTTGTTTCCCATGTATGGGAGGAGGTGTGTATGTGGGGTGCATTACTAAGTACTGACAGCATTTAGACCCACAGCAATTGAAGGTAGAGATGAGCTAGAAGTAATCAGTTGATTATATTTTAATAACTCATGACATAACAAAAATACTGCTGATTTTACTTGACATCTTGAGCTTTAGAAAAAAAAATGCTTGAATCAATTAAGTAAACTCTGTTTCAGCTTTAAGGAAGTTGTTGAAAAAATATGTTGCATGTACATGGTTTCTAATGGAATGAGTAAATAAAATGAAACAAACCACAAATAAATCTGTCAATAAGGTTTAAAAATTTGCAAATAAAGAGTCAATTTCTACAAACAAATAGGCAAATAAACAGGCAAGATGGCAAATAAAACCCTGTTCTTCGCTGGAAGGAGGCTTGTAAATGAACATGGGAATGCAGATGTCTTTTTACCATATGGATTCCCTGTTCTTTGCATAAGTACCCAGTAGTGGGATTGCTGGCTCATGTGGTAGTGGGATTGTTTACTTATGTTTTTATGTATTTATTTGTTGTGGTACCAGGGATTGAACCTAGGAGTGCTTAACCACTGAGCGACCTTCCCAGACCTCTTTTATTTTTTATTTTGAGAAAGGGTCTTGCTGAGTTTCTTAGGACCTCGCTAAGTTGCTGAGGTTGTCTCTGAACTTTGGATCCTCCTGTCTCAGCCTCCTGAGCTGCAGGGATTACAGGTGTGCACCACTGCGCTTGGCAGTAATTTGGTTTTCAGTCATGTTGCGGAGCCACCACTCTGTTTTCCATAATGGTTGTACTACTTTACCTTACCATCACCTGTGGGCAAGAGCTGCCTTGTCTCCACGTGTTTGCCAGCACTTCGTTCATCTTTCTGAGAAGCCTTTCTAAGAGTGTTAAGTGGTATCTCCCCGTGGCTTTAATTTTCATTTCCCTGATCATTTGTGATTTGGGGGCATTTTTTCTTATAGTTATGCACATTTGTGTGTCTAGTTTTGAGAAATTTCAATTCAGGTTCTTTTTCCATTTTTAAAATCAGGCTATTTGTTTTCTTGCTTTGGGGTTGTTTTAGTTCCTTGTGTACTTTGAATGTTAACTCCTTATGAGATGTGTGGTTTGAGAATATTTTATCCCATTCCAAAGCTTGTCTCTTCCCTCTATTGTTTCCCCAGTGGTGTAGAACTTTTTAATTGATTTAATCTCATTTGTCTATTCTTGCTCTTCTTGCTTGTGTTTTTAGGTAATATTAAAACAAAACAAAATAAAACAACAATAACCACAACAGAACATTGCCCAGAACATTGTCATTTCAGTGTTGGCCACGACGTCGAAGCTAGGAAGTCAACCTAAGTTCCATTAACAGATGAACTGATAAATGAAATCAATCTCTCTCTCTCTCTCCCTCTCTCTCTCTCTCTCTCTCTCTCTCTCTCTCTCTCACACACACACACGCACACACACTGAAATACCATTCAGCCTTAAAAATGAAGGAAATTCTATCATTTGCAACAACATGGATAAACCTGGAGAACATTGTGATAAATTTAATAAGCCAGACAAAGACAAGTACTGCACGATCTTGCTTATGTGGGATCTAAAAACGTCGAACTCAGAACTCACAGAAGCAGATGGTAGAAGGGTGGATGCCAGAGGCTGGAGATTGGGGTGAGGAGCTAGGGAGATGTTGATCAAAGGTACAAAGCTTCATTTATATAGGATAAATAAGTTCAGGAGACCTATTGTAGAGATGACTATAAACTAATAATAATGTATAATGGAAAATTTCGAAGAGAATAGATCTTAAATATTGTCACAACAAAAAATTGGTAACTATGTGAGGTAATGTGTACATTAATTAGTTTGATTTAACCATTTCACAATGTATTCATATAGCAAAACAATAGATTGTATACTGCAAATATATGCAATAATTATTTTTAAAATATACCTTAAAATAAATAAATAAGACCCCTTTAAAAAAACTTCTATTTTATTTATTTTTATGTTGTTCTGAGGCTCAAACCCAGCACCTTGCACATGCTAAGTGAGCACTCTACCGCTGAGCCACAACCCCAGCCCTGAAATAAGCCTCCTTAAGACTGAAGAACATAACATGAGGCATTTTCTGAGGGCTCTCCCCTGTTTGTGGTGTAGTCTTTTACTGTCTTCTGCTTTCTTTCACACATGGCTTTCAGTGCACCATCCTGAATAGCAATTAGTGCTAACATTGTGGATTGCAGGTGGAGGAAATGAGCCCATAGTGCCTCAAGAAGTTTAGAAGATACTAATGCATTTACAGGGTAGCATTGGTTTTGGAACCAATATTCTTATACTCTGCCCTTGTGTTTTTAATTCTCGGATTAATAATGGAAGTGCTTCTGTCATGCATGGTGACAGGACCCTGATCAAGGAACACTATCAGGCCAGAATTTTCAAAAGGTTCATCTGGATAGATGGAAGGAGCACTTTCAATGAGTGGTAAGCTGCCCTGAGGCCATCCAATAACAAGTGTTTTATGATAAGTAAATATTAGCATATAACATAACTCTTATTATATTATTGTAAATAATATAAATTATTGCTAACTAAAAATAACAACCAAATTCTGAATTTTGAGCCATTCAGTCTTCAAGAACTTAGTAAGCTCTGAGAAAATAGCAAGCTGCTAATAAATGATGGTTAATATTATTATTTTACTTGGATTATAAAGAGGGATGGAAATATAGATAATTCAATCTTCAAAATTATTTGTTTATTTTATATCACATATCAGTGGAATGGGAACTCATGGGGCTTTGGAAGTTCTGTATTTGGTACCATTTTTTCAATAGGCAGTAAGGACTCCTATTCCAGGCTCTGTGTTTTAGTGGGCTCTATTCTTGTCCACTTCCAGTTGTACCATTCACCAAAGGATGATTTATCTTTGGGATTAAGGGACCAGCTAGAGCTCACACCATCCCACTATTTTAAGTAATCATCTGGGATCCCAGACCTTGACTTTTCAGATCCCTCCAGACTTGTGTCTGCTTCTAGGGTATGTGAATGCTCCCTTCCCTTCTTCCTGCCCACTGGTGTTGTCTTACCACGCAGGTATATATGCTCCTAAGCTTAAGGGGGTGGTCTACAGGCAGCTTTGTATGCACGTATGGTGTACACACACGTGAATCTCAATTAACCTCAATTAACTCACCTTGTCTGGGAGTCTTCTTTTATACTCTCATCTCGAGTCCCTCAGATATTTATGATGAGGTCTTGTACATAAAGAAATGTCCTCATTTTATAGATCCTTAATAAATATTGCTTGCATAAAAGGTCCTATTAGTTGTGTGCATTGGAATGGCTCTGGCGTTCACATGAACTCCTTCCTAGGGCAAGATGAACACTGGGATGGAATGAGAAAAGGAGGAAGCTAGGGCTTCATGCTGCAATCTGGGGGCTAGAGTCTAGGGAATGACTCTCTTCCCTGCCAAATACTGATGTGGAATAATAAGGAATCTGTGATTTAACTCAAACATGACCTTCCAGGTTATTATGAAGGTATATTTTTCGAGTGTAGAGGATAGAATTTATTTTTACTTCCTAGTTATACTTTATAAATGGTGCTATGCTAGTAAATCCTTAAAAAGAGGCTCTTGGAAAATAAACAAATATTCAGGCAAAGACCTATTGAGTTCTAGTGTTTGCTATTTAGCGTGACCAAAATGCTTCT